CAGAGATGGAATACTGGAGCAGCCTTTGTTAAGGCAGTTAATGATTTGTTAATGACTATGGATTCTGGGCTCTTTATTACTTCTGGATTTACCTTAAATCCAGAAGAAAAGAATCCATCCTGAAGACTAGGCTCCTCCAGGTACAATAGGACCTTAAGTCCACCACCATGTCTGTGGAACTCAATTCCCAAAACCATTAGACTCTGTTTGCAGCTGTTAATATTTTCCAATCTAATTTGAAGAATGATCTTTCAGCTTTTAATGTGCAATTTAATTTTTTTCTTTTTTTGGCCTTTTATTATTGCACTTTTATCTTTTTCTTTTTACTTCTATTATTACGTATTACATTACCATGAATTTATACAATGCATTGACTTTTTAAATAGTAAATAAATAAAATTATGTTATAATTTCTACTATTGACATATAGCTTTCAAGGGTACTACCTGGTTGCCATCTACTGTACATTCTTTTGCTGATATTCTAGGCACTCTGAGCAGGAATGCTCTGTCACTAGAATATGTGCCATCAGTCTTCAAATACATTTCATTAACAGATAAGAGGAAAAAAAAGTGCACATCCTTTATTTGGGCAAAGCATACAAAATGAAAAAGTGATCTTCAATTTATCATGTTTATACTTTCAATTATTTAGAACAGTCTCTTTGAGTGTACAACAAACTAACTTTACAACAGGACATGTTTATTTTCTCATGTGTGAAGTACTTGTATAGGTCATGGTTCTCTCCAATATTTCTGCATTACTACTCCAATAAATGAATGGGTAATCAATGAGAAATACATTTCATCAGTTACAAAGCCTAAAGCTATGATTACAACATTAAAATGAATACCGTGGTTGTAATCCCCTTATGACAAACCTTAGGGCTGTTTCACTGGTGGTGGGGATGGAAACTGGTGGAGATGTGTTAATGTGATGAATGCTGGGATAGAATGGTCTAAACACTTCTAACACAACCAACTGGCGATTGACGGGAATTGGGATTGTCCTTCGTCTGAATGTTGGCATGAACACAAAGTTTAGGTAGATCTCTGGTAGTTTGTCACACTCTCCTGAAATGTAATTTACTAATCAATTTCAAGTTCACATGAGTTTATGTTCACTCTAAGATGTCAATGCACAATGAACATGAAGCTTACTTTGGTAAACCTCACATCTTTGGATCTTCTCACATCTAAAACTGACTTGAAACAATCTTTCAAGGTAGAATTAGCACTAATTTATCACAAACAAAACCAAAGCCTGATGGAAAAAATTATGTTTAATTAACACTCCCTGTGTTTTCATTTTCACCTCTGAAATTTGCTGTATGCTTTTACTTCACACAAAAGCAGAAGGCACAGAGCACAGCCTAAAAGCAAATTCAGAAAAACTTTAGATCAGCTTAAAGAGAAGATGAATAGTAATAACCCTTCCACTTCCAATACCTACTGCTCTTTGGTAGCTCCATTTTAATATAACAATAAATGCCTTTTCACTGATTTTATTATTAAATCCTGAGACTGAGACTTTAAAAATGTCTCTGAAGCAGAAAAGCAAAATTAAAAAAGTTTCTCCAAAACTGCTGGCACCCACACTTCTAAACCTCATTAATGTCACCCCTGCAAAACTTAAGGTGTGTGCATTAGAAAACATAAAGCTGAATTCCTGTGGTTGCACATGAAAAAAGTTTACTGTCTAGAAAAAAAAGTTATTTAGGCTCTAAACGTTGATGTGCCTAGAACCACATTTTTTCATTTCTTTTTTCAAGTTTGGTAATTACGTTGTTGCTGTGGGAATTTTATGCTTTTGGTTGCAAATAATTAAATTTACTTCAAATGAAAGGGATCAAAGGCCAGTGGGGCTTGAAGGTGACAACTATGAAAAGAGGCACAAAAAGATAGCACTGTGTAGAGGTTTTTATGTAGGCCTGTGCAGAAAAGGATAAGTGCTAAAAGGATAAGGTGTTTGGGGTGTGCAAAAAAAACCCCAATAAGTATTAGTTAATAATTTCTATGTTCGAAAAAACAGACCAACAGTGTCAAAAAGATTTTGTTTATTTGTATGTAAGAGGTCAGTAGGAGAAGACAATATGAAGGTTGTTGTTTGAACCACATTCCTCAGAAGGCAGTGGAGAGTGACCTCTGCTGGGTGACACTTGACTAGTGGAAGTCAATTGGCCATCTGAGAATTAAGAACTACTGTAGGAAACGGCCACTTGCTTTTGCTGCATAAGGAAGAGAACAGAACCTCTGATATGCACTGTAATAAATGAAGAAGGGCACAAGGAAGGGACTGACATACTGACTGATGGGGTCGTGGAGAATTTATTGAGAGTTTTATGGGAAGGTTTTTTTAAAGAAATGTTTGGGTTTTTGATGCTGCTAAGCAGCTTACCTGTAGCTGCCCAGCTACCGACACAGAGAACCATACTGTAGATGAAGGAATTTAGTTGGAGCTCAAAAAGGATCTAGAGTTCGGGTTTTGGATGTTTAAATTCACTGTAAATAAAGATATTTGCTACTGTACCTCACCTCCATCAGGAATATTCAGTATAAGGAAGTCAAGGAAAGATACTACGAAAATTACAGTGCAGAGTGTGTCACAGTAGTTCGAATAACAAATCCCTTTGGCTTCAACTTGCATTCTCTGGATCTTCACTGTTGATCCTGAAGAAGTTCATTAGGTTGACTTTATCAATTTTGATATCCAAAGCATTTACTCCAACAGACTTCTATGTTTAAGAGTAATTAGCCTTAATACTTTTTACCTGTCAGTACAGGGTATTTAATCAGGACAAGGTTCCTCTACTTTGAACTGCTTCCGAAGCTTAGCAGCATTGACTTTTCTGTAACATGGTGTTACAGAACCATGTGTACACAATATTCTAAATACTGTTTTACTTATGCAATGTCCAACTTCTCAAAATATTTTCTAAGGACATTCTCAGAGGTTAATTGTGTTGTGAGAAAGGTTCTGCTGAGCTGACAGTCTCAGATAATCCCCAATCTTGTTCTCCTGTTTTGGGTGGTCGCAGCCATTATCAGGGAGTCACAACCAGTCTAAACCAGTGATTCCCAAGCTGTGCAAGCCATCTTACACTCAGACAAACCATAGCAAGCATTAGGTTAGTCCTTAGAATTGTAAGTAGTAATAATGATATGCGTGTAACACGTGCATTGTGTTTTATGGCAACCAATTACATCCAAATTGAGAATTCAGTATTACAAAAGAAAAGTTTTTCCTTTGTGTGGAGCAGAAATAATTACACTGGTGTCTCTGTTTCCCCATTACTGGGCACACAACAATTTCACAGTAGAGCAATCACAAAATAATGAAGTTAGTGAAGCAATTACACTCTGGGCTTGAGGAGAGTTCCATGAATATCAGTGAGACCTTATTTCAGGAAAAATCGGGACTTACTTGGAGAAGCAACACACCACATGTTTCAGATCCAGCTTTCAAATGGTGCTAATATTGATCATGTGAAATCCTTCAGTAACTCCAAATCAAATGTTGTTAATAGAAACAATACATTATCTCAACATAGGTTAGTAGCTTGTACCATCCAATGGTTAACTTGCTTTTAAAAAAAAAAACATAGAACCAACTGCTGTTGTGCACAGCACTCCTATAAGGAAAGTATCAAGAGGGGGTGAAGTAGAGATCACATGGCCAGTATACTGAAATGTCTGCCTGACACTATACTTTAGTTCCTGCTATTACCCCCCTTTTTGGCTTTTTTTATTTAAAAATATCAGGGTCTGAGACAGGGGGAAGGCGAAGTGGAGTGGGGACTGACCAATTCTCCTGTTATTGGATGGCTTGGATGAAATAAGAAGACAATTTAACCAGCTGAGTATAAGTTAGGTAGGCTGGGGGGGATACGTGTGTCAACTTTCTGCTGTGACTTGGATTTTTCTTTTGTATGGAGGACTATTAGCCCAACAGATAATTTTTTGTTTTGCATTTAAAACGACATTATTATTGCACTTAATCAAGATAATGTTGCCATGCCATTAATTACATTTTCACATTTAAACAACATACTTTTTTTTGTTAAAAAAGATCACATTGCATTAAAATGTGATAATTACTTTGTAAACAATATTGCCTAACATTAATATCTTGCAATATATATTTAATAATATTGTACTATGTAAAGTAGCATTGTGTTTAACAGCAGAGGAAGATGATCGCTATCTCTCAGTTTTCTAGTTATTTTGGTTGGGGGGGGTAAGACTTTAGGTTAAAAGGTAAGATTAAGGACCTTGTTCACTTTATTATTCCCACTTCCCACTTTCAGAGCTGCTGTGTACTCTTTTCAATGGTTAGTATATTATTAACTCTTTGACATTGGATTTCACATTTGTAGCAAGTGAAATACATACTCTATATATCCTTGCAGAGAAGGAACAATATAGATATCACAATAATACAGGAATCTCATTTGAAACAGCAAGATGTTTGTACATTTGCAAAAAAACATTACTATGAGATATTCATATCTTCTGCAAAAATAAAAATAAAAGAGTTTTAATTATATTACAAATATAACATTTTCTGTACTGAGGTTAGGACATAATCTACGGTATTATCTCCAGCCAAAAAAAATGCATTTGGTTCATGACCCTACAACATTTGGTCCCGGTTAATTTAATCTACTGCCCAAAGCCCTGGTGGACCTGGCTGACTTTGACATTATTCTGAGCGCTGATATAAATATTGTCATGACTTCCATAATTAAAAGACAGAAATTGATACAGACAAATGCCCTGAGTAATCTGGGTGCAGTAATATGTATTACACCCTTCAATAACTTCCAAGTTTCAATTTCATCCCATTACTGTCCCAGCTAATCCTTAATTATTTCACTGAAGATTGCTAAAACAAATGAACAACTGCAGAGGAAAAGAAGGGAATAAAACAGAATGGGAGTCTGCTAAACCGGAACCTAGCACTGTCCTGGGAACAGAGTGGGGGGATTATGGAGCTCCTACCTGTGCTTTCATCAATACTCTCCTCTGAGACATGTTCATTCTGATGAACCCATTCGCCGTTGCATTTAAAAAAGATCTGCAATGCAGGCATGGCACGGCACTGCAGCTTAATGGGGTTGCTCTTGATGATGTAGGCATCTTCTGGCTCTTGAAGGAAGTGTGGAAGTGTCCCAGGAACAGATGGAATGGAATCTGGAAGGGCATCACTGCTTTCACTTCCTGTAAAACCAGGAGAAAGAGACAAGCCGGTGACCTACAGTACTTCTTGAAGGTCAAAAGGGATCTATGGTTGAAATGTGAAGGATAAACATGAGTTTCCCCCATGTCGAAGCTCAGCACATACTCGATCATTCGGAAGAGAAGAAGGGAAGAAAAGGAAGATTTTTTTTTTAAGTGTACAAGTATCTCACCAAACATTTGTTAAGAGAATACGGTATTGGCCTCAACCTAGCAAATTTACCACAGTAAAATGTGCCCACCATAAACTGTGGCTATGGGGGCAGAACTGTTGGCAGCTATAGGGATTTACTAGCAATATTTAACAGACTGTTTAAAAGCCCTTATTTCATGCACCAATTAATGTTAATTTAAATACATGCAAATCTAAATAGAGCATGAAGACACATTTCAGCCCACTTCATCTTTCCTTAGCCTTTTTTTCAACCTTTTCCATTTTCCCATACTTGCATACCGATGTTGTCATTTAATATGGAGAAACATTACAGTTACCACTTGAGATTGTGATCCAGGTATTGGCCTGGTTTGATGGATGATTTATTCAATCATGTTGTGATTCAGCCATTTGAACAATGGCCTTGGCCCCTCCAAAGACAATTCCCTCCAGAAATGAGAAATTTGTATCTGTCAAGGGAAAACTAAGACTTATCAACCAAATACGACAAGTAGGAAAGGATTGCTCTCACAATATCTGGGAGTTATGGTAAAAAAACCTCAAATCAGTCAAGCCATCCTGGAAGCTGTTTGATACTAAGAAACCATTCAGAGCCATAATGGCCTTTAGAAAGTGCTGTGTCCTACAATCAAATTCAATTTTACACTGAAATCTAATCTCTTAAGTCTGCTTGCCACCTCCTCTATGTTTTTACATCAAGGAAATAAAAAATGTAAAAGCAGATTCATACAGCACACATGACTAACATTCCATTTAATTAAATCTACCCTTGAGATATTTCCACTGTCAATAAAAAACACTATTTTAACACAGCAGCCACATTCTAAGGAGTACACTTCATTTATTAATTTTGTGTTTTCAATGTAGAAATATTTTGTTTGTTTTACATTCCTGAACAGTATTCAAGGACGACGGGTAATTTCTGGGCTGGGGTTAGTCTGCTGGTGACCTCAGACACAGGAATGGAAAAGGATGGACACTTAAAACAAACTACTTTCAGAAACCCTAACTTTTAAGCATCTTCAGTGAACTCTGGAATTGTTGGCACCCCTTGAAAAATATGAAGAAAAAAGTCTTAATAAAATAAACCACATAGATAATGGCATATAATTAATACTCATATGTCAGGGGAATACTTGTTCTTTTTTTCTAAAACATTTATTTTCATTTTAAGGTTCAATTGTAAATAAGTAATGCTGTGTTACTCGTAAAACATAAGCCAAAATTATTGGCACCCTTCAAGAGCCCTTCAAATACAATCAAACACATCTGAAAAAGCCACAAGTTGATACAGTACTTGTTTGAGTTCAATTTTGTCTTAAGGAACTAATGTGTGTACTTTAGAGACTTCCTGTTTCCTTAGAGTATAAAAATGATGAAACATGCACAGAAAAACCTTTTGTCATCCTTCAGCATGGAGAAGGTCAAAGAACTAACAACAGAAATGAGGAAAACCATTGTTGATCTTCACAAAGCAAATAATAGGTACAAAAAGTAAGTAAAACCTTAAAAATACCAATATCGACTGTCAGAGCAATAATTAAAAAATTCAACACCACTGGAACAGTGGTTAATTTGCCAGGAAGAGGACAGAACCCCATCTTGTCCCCATGCGCAGTGAGAAGGACAGCTAATAGACGACACTTCCATGCCAATAAACTACTTGGAGGAGTTGCCAGAAGAAATCCCCTGCTGTTGCAGAGGATCAGATTGAAGCGGCTGGACTCCGTTGGCACTTTGACTGGGAGCGGGTGCTGTGGTCAGATGAGAGCAAACTCTTTGGCCACAGTCATCACAGGTATGCTTGACGTAAGAAAAGGGATGCACATACCGAAAAGAGCATCGTACCTACTGTAAAATATGCTGGGGTGGAGGATCTTTGATGCTCTTGGACTGCTTTGCTGCTAGTGGTCCTGAAGCCCTTGTTAAGATCGATGGCATCATGAGTTCTCAAAAGTACCACGATATTTTGCCATAGCTTATACTTTATACTTCTTTTTTTCTTCATACTTATCAAGGGGTGCCAATAATGGACTCCACCGTATGTTGGCATTAGCTTCAAGACGCATTTTAGGGAAACCCCCTTACCTATAACAACTGTCATAAGGGGAGGCAGAAGCTAATTTAAAGGAGTTTCCAAATATTCCCATCTTTAAATGCATCTTAACTTGCCCGAAAACTGAGTTAAGACAGACCTTCAATTCCTTCCAAACTTGGGTATCAATACAAGACTCTAGTCAAATTCCTACCCTACCCTAACGTTTGTTAAGCTACCACCTCTGCACTAACCCATTCACTACCACTAATCTAGAGACCCCTTGGTCTCATCCTGCTGGCCAGGTTATCTCCCCTGTAACTAAGAGGGTAAAGTTAAATACCAGAACTGGATAATATATCTGATCTTTCAAACACAATTGTATTATTATTGGGTTAATTTCTTTTACTTCATATCAGTCTTCTCTTTTCTACCTGTTATGTTTCATCTATTAAATGTACCACCTTGCTTTAGAGCTAGTTAAGCATTATATTCTGCAGTGGTGATCATGTGTGGGGCACACAATCTGGAAGCCAAGTTTCAAACATCATTGTCATTCAAGAAATACTTGTTGGTGTCGCAGGAAACTGAAGCTTTGTTATTAGTGAATGATTAAAGCAACTAAGAATAGTAAAATTGTTGACAGGAACTTCCTTGTGATGAGTTCAGTTTCTGATTGTCAGAAATCAGGAAGATCAAAAGATACTTTTCTACTAATGCAGCGGTATTAAAAAAAGTATAAATTGCTAATCAATGGGAAATTTTGTAAGAGGACAATACAGTTAACACATTTTTACAGTTTGCGTATAGTTTTGCTATGTTCTACAATAAGATGTATTTAAAGGAGAGAATGACTGAAAAAATCCTAAATTACCTTCTGCTTCTATTCATGAGTTGCAGTAGAAAACTATTCCAGCGTATAGTGCAAGAAGGAAAAGAAAGAATAGTAAAGGTCCATAATGTAATTTTTTGACATTTGGAATGACATTCCAAAGTTCTCAGTTTTAACCTTATTGATTTTTTTCTGCACAGGCTGATGTAACTCTCAGTAATCACTAGTGTAAAAGGCAAAATGTTCCTAGAGAAGCAAAATTTGAAAATGAAACCCATTCCTTTCTGTTCACATTGGACATACAGTAACCTAGCCATTCAATTAAAGAATTGTCATAGTAACTTGAAACAGCAAACTGTACTCACATTTCTTCATATCATCTTAATTAACTTTCTGTGTATCTCAGATTCTGTTTTAAGTAGTTTTATTACTCCCAGTAGTAGCAGTTAATGTCTCATACATGAAACGTGTCATTATTGTCTTTGAAGAGAAAATAGAAGAGGCTGAGACCCCAGGGACTAATATGTAATCTACAACCTGTTTCTTTTTCCTCATCGATAATAATTTGCAAGACTTTCACACAAATGCCTTTCGAACCGCTGGCTTATTCATCATTAAATTCTGTCTCCCGGAGGCGTCAAATACAAATTAACGGCACATTAATCACGGGAAATGCCCTCGATAAAATCTGTACAAAGAACAATCTGAGTCAAACTCATGAGTTTAATACAGATGGAAGGAAAAGCATTGACTCTATTTATTTTCTCTTTATTTTAGCCCCTGGCACTCTGCTATTTATACGTTTCATTTACATCTTCGAGGCTCTGAGGAGCTGGTGCCATCTGTTTATCTCCTGTGGGCCACAAAGGAGACAAGATGACATGATAGTCAATTCTATTGACTTGTGTGGATGTAACAAAGCCAAGAAGTGATATATGAGTCCTATGGTTTACACATGCATTAATGTGTATATACAGTATATGATAGAAAAGGCACAGAAATAGAATTTCAACATTACCCGTCAAAATCTGAAGTTTAATCATTCCATCAATTACAGTACCTTAACTCTCCTCAGTGCCTTGTCTAGTGTAAGCTATGGTCTCAGACCATGTGAGTAAGGTACGTTCTTGTCTCATCTCACATCTCCAATTAATGAAAAACAAACATAAATACAGTATGTATGGATTTACTTTATCACATGCTGTACATGGATCCGTACTGAAAAAGTTAAAATCGGTCTCCCTCACAAAATAAAAATCATAAATGCCTCCTCGATGGAGGCTCACCGTAGATCTCTTCAGCAAAGATTTGTTGAACTGAAGATGTTAAATTAAAAAGCTACAGAGGTTAATTGATCAGCGAGTCCCAATATTATTTTAAACGAATTGCTGGTATTCAAAAAGCACATCACATTTCATGTGAGCACTTAGCTTTGTTGAGCATCTGCCTTTTAAGAGATCAAAGCACTTGGCAGATAATTAAAAAAATGGAAAAGAAAGATCTCAGTGACATTTCAGAGCTCATTTGCTTAACGGATGCCAAAACAAGCCAATTACTGAGCTTGCAACGTCTAGGATTTCTTGGAATGCAATTTAAGTAACAGGACAATTGTCATCTTTAAAGCTATTATAATGTTTAGATACTCCATGCTAATATAATTCATTAGCTTTGCAAATGCAATGCCTTGATACCCATTTGTAGGCACACAGGCTCTACAAAGCACCTCTCAAAACAAAAAGCTGAAGGGCCTGATTTTTCATTGTGGGCAAAACCATCCATCTAATTTCTTTACTGTGGAGTTGGATGTTTGCCCATAATAGAATACCCAATGTAATGCCCATATGTAACATTATAAAGGTGTCCCAAACCCTTTTCTGTGGTTTCTCACTTAATAGGTCATTCAGGCAATAACCAACAGTTCATTCATCTACAGCTGCTTG